ACATACAATCTGAAAATAATTTTTATATTCGTAGTGCTATGCGCATGTGAACAAAGATATATTCAAGTTACCAGAGTTAAACATGAAATAGCTGTTTTTTTCTTAAATTGAAGAATATAGATGTTATTGCATTAAGCGTAATGTCTCACCATAATTTCTTAATATTTCAATCGTGTGTTGAATTAATTTGGCAGTGCGGGTGTGCACTCAGCTTCATCTCCCGTCAGTGAATACGTTTCTTTCATCAATATACAACGAAACTTATCGTCTCTTTATTGTCCTTTCTCCACAGTACTGTATCATTTATGGTGGCCGACTTGTCAAGATCACCAAAGATTGAATCAGCAAGTCAGGGTTCAACACCCACAACTAGTTATGAAATTTCTGGTCGAAATTGGTGAAGTGACTGGACAGCAAGAAATCGGTTACGGGCCAACATAACCTAATCAAAGCATCCATCCCTACTATATCTATCCGCACGTTTGAGGAAATTACTTAAGGACATTTTGTCCCACTTCTGCTGGGCCTATACTTTCAAAAAAGTTAAGAGATCGTACATTCATTAGCCAATCATTGACGGCCTTTCACGCAAAATCCACCAATCATAGACAAGAAAATAGAGCGTAAGTACATACGTTCACTTAGCGAGTTTTGAGAGTATAGCCCCGCCATAAATATCTTGCCGTCTATGACCCACTACTTGAGATCCATGACTCACTTTCAGTCCATGACTCGCTTGCGATTTATGGCTACGTATCAAACATATGGGGCAGGAAAGCTGAGTTAGGCCGCAATCAATTATGTATCAAATTCTCTCATGTAACATTTAAATAAGACTTCATAGTGCATATTACATTACATTTTTACATTTCTTTCCTGGCATGTAATTTTCATAGGTAAATATCTCGCCATTTGTTAATTTTTGTCCAAACATTTTTTACTAATTTGACACCGGCTCATGTATACACAAAATATTGAGCTAAACAGAGAAAAGACATAAATTGAGTGCCCACAAAAACCTAAAAAACGGACGTGTGTTGTATTTACAAGCGTCGCGCATTTTTAATACTTTGCTGGGAATAGTACGCGGAAGATACAACGCCATAGATCCAAAGATGATGTTTATGAAAGCAATGTTTTAAATTATAATATACGAGTATTCATTGGCACACGTTAATAGATGCGGCCATTTATCCACTAAGGCTCGGCTAGGCTAATTTTTTTATTTTGTATAACTTTATATATTTCAATGGGTCGGTGACAAGCTCTGCCTATAATTGTGTGATTAGTAGTGCATTGCTTTGGTAGCGTTAATATTTGGCTAATTGTCAGAATACATCCTTGACCATTTTCCTTGTGATTAATATGCCGTCTGAGAGGTAAACAGGTATATTATTACTGTATTATTCAATTTGGACAAACTCGTTCGTGGTGAGAAAGATCGGTTTAATTCATCGCAAACCTAGCAAGCGTGTGAGCATTCAAGTTTTCGGTAACGCATTACCTGACTTTCTGTTCCCCTGCCTCGTGTTCTAGAGAGGTCGTTATACCCACGGCGCCCGAGAAGAACAAAGCGCTTACCTTGTGTGTAGATTAAGACTTCATCAGTTACTGGAATTCCTTCACCAAATTGTTGCCAAGTTGTGATAGTATTAGTATAATTAATCCAACTTCGGTAGGCTGATTGCGAAGCACAAGGTAGAATTAAGAGGACCTATATTCTGACATTGTCCGTGGTCTACATCCAGCGAGGATAAAATGCGCATTTACATGTCGTGCATATACCATTCCCCTAAGCAGCCAAAATTTGGAGTCAGCTCTCAGACGCCTATTTCAGTTTTCGCCTTAGAGGTGAATTGGCCACCTTACTGTATTCGGCAGTGATTTAGCAACCTCTTGCGGGAATCGATTGCCCGATGGGCCGAATCTGCGTGATTTAACCGAAAAAGCAGTTGGTAAAGCTGCTTCATGATAGCCTGGTCAAACTCTGGTATTAGAGCGAACCTTGACCATCTCATTGTGTGCACGCGTACGTTTATGTATAGGTTAATAGATGTTCAAGAGAGGATTGGTAAGATCAAGACGACACGGTATTTCCTACATGGGATTTCTCAGCTCCGTGATGCCGCTGTCTTGGAACCCATGTTTTCTTTCTTTCAACACGTAGCACTGATACACCCGTTTGCAGAGTCGAAATGGGTCACTTCAGTATGATCCATACGAAGGAAAAATTCGCGTCGCTATTTGGACAAAAATCAAACATTTCTCCGAGTGTAGTAATCACTAATGGCGGTGAAATAACAGCTTCTGTTTTTTTTAAACACGTACATTTTGCCGTTTTCAGCTAACTGCAGGGAAAGTAAAGGAACTTATTTTCATCGTAAAGTGTGCTCGGAGACTGATATGCATGAATTTCATGTGTAAATATTTAATTCAAAATTGGTCTCTGAATTACATGAAAACATTCAATATGCATTGTGCACCACATATTCTTTCTAGACATTACGAACATGAATATTGATAATGAGCGAGTATTTTGAGACAGAATGGCAGTGGACGCAATATTGTATTATACAATTAATATTCAATAAATATTAGATGGTATGTATTTGCTTTAAAATGTTCCCTATAATAATTTATTGGTTCTTGAATATTGATCCCGCAAATGGGGTTGGAAGGATTGAGTAATGTGTTTTAATAAAAAACATCTGATCGAAGTATATAACTATACTGCTATTTATTGCTACACTATTTTATCCCACCTCTCATCCTTTAAATAGAAAAAAGTATATAAACTGCCCTTTAGCTTGTATATGAGAAGGTTTAATTACTTTAAATAACACAAATAGGAAATTTCCCTCGTTATTATTACGAGAAATACCCTTGCTGAGATTGCCTGGCGATTTCTTTTCCGAAGAACTCGATGCCTTTCCAGACTTCGGTCACCTGGGGTCAGAAAACAATGTAATTTTTCTTATTCATCCAATTAATACAACTTAATTAATCCCTTTCAATTCAGAAATAGCGAAAAATAAACGGTTCGTTTGACCGAATGCCATTAAAAAAGTGAAAGGAAAAGTCTAGCGAATTTTTTTAATCCTTTATGGATTGAACTTTGTATGTAGGATACAGAATTAATTTCGGAAACTGAGAGTGGAGTTTGTGATGGACGGACAGTTATATGCGTTAATAGCCAGACGTCCTAGACGACAGAGTTTGAATGGAGGGACTGCGATGGTGTGACCAAGCACTGAATGCTAGAAACAATATTTTAATCATGTTGTTATCAAATAACAGTAAATAGAAACGTCCGACAAAATGAACTAGTAAAGTAAAGAGAGCGATTTATCCTATGCTATTTACAATGAACAAAATTTTTTCCCCAGGTGTGTTGCTGTATGACTGTTTTGAATATCATCAACTTATCTCGTAATTTACATGCTAAAAATTATATATTATGTTTCATATAACAGATATATAAAATATTCTAGTCGCTTACCGCGTCCTCGATCTTGCTAGGGGGGTACAGGAACCCGTAACGCCCCCTGTCCTGCAGTTCAAAGGTCATGGAGTACGTCACGCCCTGGACGACGGCCCAGTCACTGCTGAAGCCTGACCCGGGGTCTGGGGTTTGGAGGAGTAATATGAGCTGGGGCTGGGTTTGGAGGAATTATATTAGCTGGGGCTGGGTTGGGAGGAATTATATGAGCTGGGGCTGGGGTTGGGAGGAATTATATGAGCTGGGGCTAGGGTTGGGAGGAATAATGAGCTAGGACTGGGGTTGGGAGGAATTATATGAGCTGGGGCTGGGGTTGGGAGGAATTATATGAGCTGGGGCTGGGGTTGGGAGGAATTATATGAGCTGGGGCTGGGGTTGGGAGGAATAATGAGCTAGGACTGGGGTTGGGAGGAATTATATGAGCTGGGGTGTTAGTCTTACTCGTTCAATGAATGGTTAGTCAAAAATATCGACAAATAATTCAATTATTGGTCTTAATTTGCATATATTTCGTTATCGTGACCTCTCTCAGCCGGGGAAACGAGGAGAAAAACTCACAAAAGTTGGTGTAAGTGTCGTAAACGTCAAATATCGTGCCATCTTCTTCCTGAATTGCCTTGGCAATGCCTTCTCCCATCGCCGTCTGAAGCAGATGAATTAAATTAAGCTCGTTGCAATGGTTATCGAAAAAATAGAAGAACAATCCTCACAAATATGTTACGTTGTTCTTTACAGTTACCCCATAGAACAAAAATAAAAACAAATTGTGAATATTAAACATATATTGTATTGACCGCAGTGGCTTGAACGTGGCGGTGGTTTTGACATGAAATATGCAGAATAACTTTGATTGTAAGCGTCTACCGGTAAATGTTAATCCGAGCAATTTTGACAAGGAGGCATTCTCGTGTAAACGAGAATTTACACGAGGATTCTCGTGTGAATTTCGTTAGATATTAATAAACATTTGATCGCAAATGTAGTATCACAATTATATACTTGATCCATACCGCGTTGGAAACTTCATATATTTGATCAATAAGTGAGATAATTATTTGAATTTAGTATAAAGGCATACTATACTAAATATATATACTTTATGTATATTTATTACCAGGTTGACGAGGTTAGGATGGGCGTCAGGCTTGTAGGCCCAGGGAAGCAGGATGACTTGAGAGTAACTGTGCACCGCCACGTATCCCTGTGCACGTGTATACGTGAACATTCAATGGGCAGCTGCAACATCTAACACAAAATATAACTCAGTACTCACTGCAGTGAGTGACAGAGAGCGCATTTTCTCGTCGACGAAAACGTGAAGTCACGAACGAACAGACTGACGGACGGACAGACGGACGGACATGACGAGCACATTAGGGCATTTTTTCCATAAATGAGAAAATGCGCTAAAAATACTTATATCGTTAGTCTACCATAATTGCAAGCTCAAAAAGTATTTAGAATAAAATATATATGTATTATTCAATTTGCGTTTAAAATTTCTGCGAGTATGAAAGACTTCATATTGTAGTATACATTTACTGAGGCTGATTGGAAGATGAAAAAATGTTTGTTTTCAAGCTTATAAGGCATATACTGTATATATGCCATATGTAAATCAATGGACAGTATAATTTCAATTGCCCAATAAATTCATCTTTACTACCAAACAAATCTTATATAGTCGGGATTGGTTACTAAGTTGATTAACCTGGTCAACCATTTTAACAAATATTTAGACCTTGAATATGATCATGTATAATGCCTTAAATAGTTTCATGTAAAGCAATGAATAGTGTCTTTTCCGCTGTGCAATAGCCTCATCTCATCGAGTAGGCAGATCTTGATCCTGATAAGTTATTAAATCGGCAAACATAGATAACCACTTCGAGAATTTTGTTTGGATCTCAAGTGTCCTTGAGAATTTCCTTGAATAATAATATTATATTCAAAAGATTATATTGAGAATATATTATTATTATTATATTCTCAATATCAATATATTATTGAGAATATTCGAATGTAAATCGATGGACAGTATCTTTCCAATTGCACAATAAACCCATCGCTATCTTACTGTGTCGACTAACATGGTTAAACATTTTCCTCGGACTTTAAATAACCCTTAGAAATACCTGAAATAATTATCCACGGACCTTCAGTTCTGTTTTGACTTCCAAGATGGCATCCCTCACAGCACGCGCCTCTGGCTCACTGAAGGCCTCCAGGCCGTGGTAGTTTATGCTGCACGTATCAGCACTGGCGCCGATACCTGAGAAAAGTTAAAGATATTTGGACTTCTCACACCAGATATCTGACGTTGAATTAAAGTGTGTATGTTTGAATAAACGTTTATTAAACTTAGTTCCAAGATCCTTTGCATGGAGGGACCTTTTAAGATCCTCTCGTTCAGCAGGCACCTTCGGATGGTTTTGCGCTCCGCTCCCGATCATGCTGATGTACCTCCTTCGACGTTACCAGTTTAATTTTAGAGCACGGAATAGAGTCGGCCGTCGCCGGCTATAGGACCAGCGTAGAGACGTGACAGAGCATCAATGGAGCAGAAATAACCGCATTAGAGACCATATCACCAGCCGCGGAGAATCGCTATATACAGTTACGCGCATATTTATTGGTAACACGCTTAAAAAGATTTAATTTGAGAAATAAGGTAATTAGAAGCATTTATTGCAATTTCTACATTTATTTTCAGTTAAATTGATCAAAGAACATCTAATTACTGCGCATTACGGATAGTAAAACGTTAGATCTTTGTTGTATTTATATTTATTAGAAAAACACCAAAAGTAAAAGTAATGGCAAAATTTTGAAAATAAGCATATAAATTGTTGGCAACTCTAAATTAATACTTTGTGTGTCCTCCCTTGGCAGCAATGATAGCAGACAGACGCTTCTTGTATGTTGCTACGAGGTGTTGGCATGTTTTAGTAGGAATCTTGCGCCACACTTCCATGGCAAAAGTCTTCAATTCATCGATGTTGCTGGGGCTTCTTTTATGAACACGCCTTATGAGTTCCCTCCATAAATTTTCAATTGGATTTTAATCTGGGCTTTGCGAAGGCCATTCCAACACTCTCAATTTCTGCGTAGCAAAATATTTCTGTTTTTATTTGCTTGTGTGCTTAGGGTCGTTATCCTGTTGAAAAACAAATGCCCGTCCAAGATGCAGTTTTCTTGCCGATTGCTTAACATTATCAGTTAAAATGTGTTGATATCCTTCAGAATTCATGATGCCCTCTATCACAGAAATATTCCCAG